TTGAACCAGAATTTTCACGATATCTTGGAATTATTATTCGAGATAGAAATATTTGCCCAGTAGCTGTTGAGAATTGGGCCAAAATACCACAGCAAAATAAAGATCATATGTGGGCATCCATTAAGGTACATTGAAAATTAATTTTTTACAATTGGTTTTTAATTCTTATAAATTAAATTTTGATTCAAATTTGATATAGGATAAATTTGATGCTGATGACATGGAGCAAAAGAGAGAGTCAGTAATGAGACACTTGCGCGATTTGTGGAATAAGTGGCGTGGTGACATGCACAGGAAATATGTGAAAGAAAATTCATTGCAAGTTGCACTTAGAAATAAACCTACAGAAGTGAGTGTTGATGACTGGGATTGGCTAGTTAAGGAACATTATTTTTCTTCAAAATTCCAGGTATTAATCTCCTAATTTTATTAATTAATTTCTTTCATGTATATTGTTGGATTGTTAAAATTATCTTTTAATCTTGATGTATAGAAAGCAAGCCAACAAAATACACTTAACAGAGGCAAACGAAAGATGCTCCACCACACGGGCAGCAAATCCTTTAGACAAATTGCGTGGGAATTGGTATACATTCAAAACTAATTTCCTATTTATTTATAACTACTTTGTTTTTGAGTTTGATGTTGTACTCATTTGTATTTAATATTTGAATAAGGGTGGCAAGTCAGGAAATCCACCTGATGTGGCAAAAATGTTTCATGAAACTCGAAAGAAAGCTAATGAAACACTAGAAAATGGGGATCAAGATAAATATGTAAGTAGAATATGTGTTTAAGTTTGATAATGATGCATTATATAGTACTAACATACGAATTTAATTTTTATAGGATGAAATTGTTCAAGTCAAACAAGCAAACCCTTCACTTTCTGACATTGAGATAGTTGAGAAAATCTGGGGGAAACAATCTCATGGTCACATCATTGTATTTGGTGGCGGGACTACTTTGAAAGATTTGAGAGGACCGCTCCCTAGTCGATCTGATCTGGAAGCACGGGTTAAATTTGTAGTCTACAATGACGGTTTTATAAATCGTATTTTGTTCATCAACGAAGGGAAAGCACCGTCGTTGATGGGTTACTAATTACCCATTATGTGGACTTTTACGACGGTATCCAACCGTCATTAATTAGTCTTCAACAACGGGAAAATATCCTCGTAACTAATGGTAACGACGGGAAAATATCCCGTCACTGATGGTAACGACGGGAAAATATCCCCGTTACTGATGGTAACGACGGTGATAATTACCGTCGTAAATATTAATGACGGTAATATGTTCCGTCGTTATAGACTCTATAACGACGGGTAGTATATCCCTTCGTGACCCTTTAGCGAAGAGGGCTTCAACAACGGGTGACGAAGGGATTTTCCCCCGTCGTTAGCATACAATAACGAAGGTTTTCAGCTCTTTAATGAAGGGAAATCCCTTCGTTAAAGACGTAATTTCTTGTAGTGTTTGTAAAGAAGAGAATTACACGTGTAAGACTCATTCATTTGGTTCCGTTGAACGATTTAATAGAAACAACAAAGAAAATTGTTCCCAAAGCGAACACGCTGGAGACCACAGTGACCACAATGACAACTCTCACCCAATAGTTGCCGAGACTTCTCATCACAACGTTATTTCGGCAACCAACAAAGCCAAATTTTTTGCTCATGACGGCTCCTCCCCAGTTAAGGAGTCATCCAACAAAAATGAGATACACCCTCCAAAGTTTTAAGCCTCCTCAGTGTTTTATCGAGGAGGCTGAAATACGTTTGACAAGATATGCTCTGTTTTTGCCCAACGTTGGACTGTGTAGAAGGACCCATGAGTGGCTTCAGTTTCTTGACTTCTGGTGTCGCGATGTCGCTAACCATTTGTTGAAATCAGGAACTGGAGCTGATTTGTTAACATTTGAAATGTTGAATTTTCTCGTGTCGTTGAGTTGACACTGAACTGATCATCTTTGTCAGGAGCTCGTAGCTTGATTGCAGTTGAACTCCTCGGGGTAATTTTGGAAGAAGACTACCACAACGTGTGTTGCTGGAGTGTCGCCGAATGTTGGCTTAACTGTTGGAGTGTCACCAAAAGTTTAACCATAGTTTATACTTGTACATAGCTAGAATCTACACAGTTTAAGCTTTAAGGGGTTGGAGCATAAAGAAGTAGTTTATACTCGTATACTCATTAGAGTATAGGGAGCAGTTTAACCTTGTATACCAGTTGGAGGTTCACGGAGAAGCAGTTTATACTCGTATACTCATTAGAGTATAGGGAGTAGTTTAACCTCGTATACTAGTCGGAGGTTCACGGAGAAGCAGTTTATACTCGTATACTCATTGGAGTGTAGGGAGCAGTTTAACCTCATATATCAGTCGTATACTCATCTGAAGTTGCGGTGCTTTTGACTATCTTTTAACTGCCTTCCTGAGTTTGAAACTTCTTCTTTTCCTTCAGCGCTTTATCCATCGCTATATGAATCTATCAAGGCGTTGATGTCAGATGAAGATCCGGATATGGCCATGATCTGCTCGGAGCTTCATAGCTTCACTTCCTTCCTGAACATAATGATCAACAGAGTTCTTCACAAGGGATCACCCTTTCACTCTTTTAAGCGACTCCTCGATCGACATGTGATGGGCATCAGGGAAGAAGGGTATGCAGACTTGGCTGATTCCATCGCAGCGGACTTGGCTCACTTAGACCAGGAACTCCAAAAGCTGAGGGAACTCCGGGCTGCTGGTGCTTCCTCATATTTAACTGCTCACATGGAATTAAGGCTAAAGGTGTGGCATGATACACAGACGTCCGCTGGGCTTGAACTTCAAAAACTACAGGGTCGTGTAAGACAGATGGAAATAAGTCTTTCCAAGAAGGCAAGAACCACGACCGACTTGCTCTGATCTTTAGAATCAAGCCACGCAGAAATAGCCCGCCTTGAGAAAGCTACTTGTTGATTGATGACACCACTTTTGTATCTTTTGTTTTCATTTTATGAATAAAATAAACTTTTTGATCGTTTACACTCTATCATGATTACTTATTCTGTTTGGAATAAATAAACATAATATTTATAGGATTTTTAGCAAACACTCAGTCATCAACAGATTTGATGAGCCTTTATCGACTACCATTTGAGTCGGGCTAGCATGCAGATTATCTAAGTCCATTCTACATGTAATGTTGTACTAAAAGAATAACTCTCTTAGACTTAATACTACGATATTAAATAGACTTCGTCATTCTTACGGGAATAGACTACCTGGTTACGTATGTTAGACGTAGGTTTATCTCTGATTAAGGATCGAGATAAAACTCACTATGCATGATAAGCATAGATTTAAGTGACATTAAATCAGTAATAACAACTGGCTACACGTGTAAACTTTTGGAGTTTTGTGTCTTCTCTTGGGACAAAGACGAACCATGTTGTGTCTTCTCTTAGGACAAAGACGAACCCTGTTGTGTCTCCTCTTGGGGTAGAGAAGAACCTTGTTTTGAAGGAAAAGAATGTATTTTTTTTATCTTTTTCTTCAAGGGGGGCTCCTTGTTCACGTGAACTCATAGTTGAAGGATTCTGGATGCACGTGCATCAGAAAATCTGGAAGGAAACTCAGAGTAGGATCTCCACTCTGAGAATCATATTTGAGTCATGCCACATGGCGTTGACTCAGAAGGGACCTTTTAACTCGCGTGAGCAAAAGATGGAATTTGGATAACCCTAAACTGTCTGAAGATTTGATTACTCAATTGGGAGTTTGAGACAGTCCTAACTGTCTGAAGGTTTGATCGCTCAAGCTTGAGTGGACCTTTCGCTCATGGAAGAAATCGAGAGGGGATTTTAGTTTTGGTCATAACTGTCTGAAGGTTTGACCAGGTAGGAGTTTGGAACGACCCTAACTGTCCGAATGTTTGATCGTCTAATTTGAGTGGACCTCTCGTTCATGGAAGAAATCGAGAGGGGGTTTTAGTTTTGCTACTAACTGTCTGAAGGTTTGACCAAGTGGGAGTTTTGATGCCAAGTTCTCAACGGTATTTTCTTGCGAAAATCTGACAAGAGTAAAAAGGAGTTAAGTGCTTATAAATAAAGTGAGCTCATTAATTACAAATAAATATGTAGATGAGGCTATACGCAAGTTACCCTTTACTTTATAATTCATTTGTATTATTATCTTAATAAAATATGATAACATATAATATTTTATTTTTTATTTTACGCTTCCGTAATTTGAAATTATTCCATCAAGTAATTGAAATTGCTAGTAGATACCTCAATTCTTAACTTTTTGTAAAATTATTTCCTCAAATCATTAAACTATTAGGTCCTCCAATTCTCAAGTTTTTTTGGAAATTGGTCCCTCCAAGCAAGGGTAAAATAGCAATTTGAAGACCCTCAAATCATCGACATTTTAGTTAGATTTCTCAATCCTCACAGTTTGTTCCGAACTAATCATTCTAATTGATAATTATACTATTGATTTGAGTGACTAAAATTCATTTGAGAGACCTAATAGCAATTTCAATGTCTGCTTCCAAAATTTGAAAGATTAAAGGGGCTAAAATCTAAAATACTTTTTTTTTATAAACTCAACTCCGTTTTTGGGTTGAGTAGACGAAGTCGCCGCTCATATCAAAAGTTTGAGAGACCTAGCAGCAATTTCAATGTCAACTTCCAAGTTTTGAAACATGTAAGGGACTAAAATCTAAAATACCTTTATTTTTTTAACTCAAACTTCATTTTTCGGCTGAGTTCATGAAGTTGGCGCTTATATCACATGCAAAGGACATTATTGCCCTTACGAACCAAAAGAGTCTTTCACCTGTTGGCTGTTGCCCATCAAGCAAGGTCAATATGGACATTTGTGTTAGGAAGCGTGCCAAAAAAAAAAGGGAAACAATGCCAAGGACTATGATTAAAGTTACTAGGACGCTTAGCCCGTTTAGTATGATCTTCTGCCAAAATTTTACGCATCTAAAATGAGACGAAACAAAGCTACACAGCAAATGGCAATATTCTGCCAAGGTTTTACGTGTATATAAAAGGGGCTTTGTGCCACAATAACAATGAGTATAAATATCAGCTCAAGCTTACAAGTAGCCTGAAATAATGACATTGCTGCAAAGCCTTTATCTCAAAAAAAAAAAAAAAAATCCAGACGCTGTAGTCTGGATAAAAATCAATCCACTCCCGCATTACACGAGAAATCACCAGCACAGCAGAGGGATCTACAACAAGCGAACAGATGCTGATGAGAAACTAATTGCTGGAATTATATAGCCATCTCTAAAGATGGATGTGATCTCGCTGCTGAAAGTTATGTACGGCCCCCTGTATCTTCAATCTGCAACTACTGTCTTTCTTCAATCTGCACGCTCTTGAATCTCTCCTGCTCCTGCTCGTCTCTGTTGCCATCTTTTATCTGCAAGTCATTGGACCTCTCTTGATTGCTGCTGTTGCCTTCCTCATTAGAAGTTGTGATAGTCGCTTCCTTTTTCAGCTTGTGGTTATTGTATGCCACCACTCCTGCAATGGCTACCAAAAACCAACACATTACAGTAAGTAGAGCACCATCATGCAAAAAAAAAAAAAGGAAAAAGAATTAATCACAAGTACTAGCCATTGTTAAATTTGTGAGATCACTGAATTTATAAGGTAAGTTGAAAATGGGACAAAGATGACATCAAAAGGATAAATATATTATTGAGAGAATCACATAAAAGATAACGAGAATCACATAAAAGATAACTCATTGAGTCTTTCACTTTTTTATTGCTTTCATTGCTCGAATCATCATGGATGCTATAATTGAGATCTTGGTCAAAGAATAGAGAAGGGCATATTAACTAGTAAAATACTTACTAGGCTAGTATGTCACCATAGAGTAGCCAGGAATTTGGAGAAGAAATTTTATGTGACACTCGTAATATCAACAGGGCTTAATGGATCAAATGCAAGAAATGATACCTTCAAAATAACGTAATTGAAGAAGTGTAGTGAATCTATCCTGATTTTTCACTTTCAGACAAGGACCAGCGCAGGGACATTATTACAGCTGCCTCAATTCTTCTAGGGTATTCTGAATTCTTCAAAACAAATCATCCTGATATTTGGAGGAAAATTCCCAATCATTTGTTCTTGTATCCACTACATATTAGCACTGAATTATTAGCTATATAACAAAATTCTGGACAAAAACTATCCGGAGCCTATTCAACCTTTTCGAAAGATATGGTAATGAGACATCGGACATCAACTCCGTGCTTTAAGCAGGTCATTCAAGTATCATCCTGTTATTTCTCCGAGCCTCGTTACATGTCCCATCTTAAGTAATTCTTTGTAACATTTTCCTGAATTGCATTTGTCTCTGCTTGAAACAGCCATTTATTATGTAATTTTTTTATTACAATTACCTCTCATTCATGTGATCTTGCTTAGATATGGAACTTCTTATTTGTAATTCTTACACAAAAAAACTATGCATCCCTTTATACAACTCGAATTTTGTTCATGTTAATCCTTGATAGTGCATGCATATGTATGTGCACATGTAAACATATGTTGATAAATTCTATTTTGCATTTCTGGTTCAGTGGCAGTATCAGACATGGAAACTATATCTGTATCCAAGCAAGATCAGATGAACAAGAGGCAATGATAATAAAAAATTACATAATAAATGGCTGTTTCAAGCAGAGACAAACGCAATATAGAATAACATTACAAGGAATTACTTAAGATGGGACATGTAATGAGGCTTGAAGAATTAACAGGATGATACCGGAATGACCTGCTATTGCTAAGAGTGAAACCACTATGGACATGGATGTAGACAATAACAAAAGATAAGGGATTCTAGTTTAAGAGAAGAGGTGACCTCCAAATGAACTGAGAAAAGGATTCACAAGGCTGACAAGGAAAATTTTGAGATAAAGCATTTGTTCTTGTTGCCACCCTAGTACTAAAGTAGGAGAAGGAACAAGATATTTGACGCATGAAGAAAAATCACTTCAGGTGCAAAGAACATATAAGTATCAATGAACCTCTAATACCTGAAATGGAATGAGGCGCCCAAAAAGAAAGAAAATAATGATAAGCTCCGTGCACATTAATGGTAAAATATTGAAGGCAAGAAAGTTACTATCATTCTCTCTGTAGCAAAAGAATTTAACTAAAATATTTAATAAAAGAGTATTTGAAATCTGCAAGAATATTAAAAAGAATTAAAGATGTCTCCAGTCAAGAATACTTGAGAATGAACACATTTTCTGCCCCTAAAAATGCTCGATTACTAAATAAACCACTGAAGAGCATTGTCTGTAGATATATACCTATGCCATAGCCAATGAGGTTTATCGGTGTCAGCTTTGTATCGGAGAATATTACAGCTGAAAGTAAAACTACCACCCAGTCCCTCACAACTCCAGTAACACGAATAGTCAGTGCACTTGTACGTGAGATTACAAGGAAGACTGAAAGGTTGAGCGCAAACGTGCAGAGGCAGTTGAGAAGCAATATCCATGGAGGGAAATTCCAGGTCCCACCAGAATCCATTTTTGGCTTTTCCAAAAATAACCATGGAACAAAGAGACTCAGTGCACTGCAGAAAAAGCACCAGAATATGTTAAATTGTAGGAAAATGGTTGTATTGAATATCAGTGAAAGAAAAGAGTACAAAAACTACCTGCATGGGCTAACATAGTACATCATAGATATTGAGTTCAAGCGAACACCCTTTCTTTTGACAAAAATTTCCATAAAAATGAGTCTTAGAGCTTCACCAACGACACCACCCATCTGATAAACTACTCCGATCCAACTAACAGTAACTTCCCCATAAGAAGCAACAATAACTCCCACGCTGATAACTGACATTATAGCAAGCATTCTGCAGCTCATTACTTCGAGGCCAGCTGCTGCTCCAAGGAGAAAGACTGCTACAGGCACTGCAATGCTCATCCAAGGAAAAAACTGCACCGTCACTAACTGCTGTAAGTATAGAAGATCCTAACAAAGTAAGATTAGCTAGTGCAATTATAATGATTTGAGCAGAAAACACTTAACTGATAGCTTTTAACATCTGTGCAAATGCAACAGATATGTATAAGTATGCACTGTTTCCTAGCCAAAGAGTCATTGCAAACATCGCACCAATGGGGATAACTGATGAAACATATCTGAGGATTGAGATATTCATTAGTTTTGCAATCTAAAACATGGAATTACTAGCAGCAAAGTATCTAGAGACAACTTACTAATGTTTCTTATATCAAAATACGCTCATGGTTAATATGCAAATTGTCTAAGCAAATTTTTGCTTTCATCTAAGAGAACAGTATTTTATTAAAAGTTCGGACAATTAAACAAAGTAATCCACATTAGAACAATGCTAATAGGTACTTGTGCATAGTACATGACCGAAGAGACCAAGTAGAACAGATAATTGAATGGAATGGAAAATCCCGAGGACATATTTTCCTTTGCATCCGTAATAATTAGAACTTTATTATAGACAATAGTATATCAGTTAATTGAATGGAATGGAAAATCCCCAGGAAATATTTTACTTTGCATCTGTACTAATTAGAACTTTATTATAGACTATAGTATACCTCCATTCAGTCTCAAAGAACTCCCCGTTCTTATGTAGTCCTTCAAAATACCCACTGGATAGAACAACCTAGTTGGTTGATATATAATATCTCCTACTACTATAATTTCTAAACTTGGTTGAATACATCTCTTTGACCTTCACAAAGTTTCCTCAGAAAACCAAAGACACCAAACTCAACCTAGATTAAGGACTCTGTTAAGTCAAAAGTGCGTAATAAAATAGAGTCCATTGTCTGGAAGTTACAGGTTGCTCCAATTGGAGATGAGGGAAGAAGGCTTACAGGATCGTTTAGGGGCCAGGGCTATACAATGAAAACAGAAAAGTGCGCGAGTTAGGAAAAATGATAGGATGATAGTTGATGCAGTAACAAGAACTATAGATTAGACATACATGAATCGGGAGAAAAAAATCAAAGAAATCTAAAGAAAAACTATGATACTGTTGAATCATAAAATGGCCCTCAATAGTGTCAATTGGAAAAAGTATTCATGATGCGAACTCTGAATATTTCAAAGAAAGGTGTTGCATGCAAGCAAGAAGCACCTGAAACCAGTAGATAAACAAGTGATACCATGCTACTGTACAACAGTATGAATTTGCATGTTATATAATGTCAGATTTTGAGAAAATTAATAGAGAAACTTCAATGAGGTTATGCTGTTAACTAATGCATATCTAACAGCAACGGTCGGTACGATAATACTCACATATCTGACGTCATGCCCTCCTCAATCTTTATGATCTGGGAAAATATTAAAGAAAATAAGAAGCATGACCATAATGAGAGTAAGAACTAGGTCAAGAAAACCCCACTGACTTTCACATGTTTCACAATCCATACACCTTATTTGTTAATACCATTGGAAAAGCTTTGCAAAAACATGCTCGCAGTGTAACGTTTAACTACCTTAAAAACTTTTGTGAGAAGGAAGCATAATCCAGAAGAAAAGAGCATATGGAGTAAAGTCAGTCCCACTGGATAAGGGAAGTTGATCTGCTTTGATGACAAAACCCACTGCAGTTACATGTTAGCATATTGTTAGTCAAAAGGTATCATATAATCAAGCTTTTTTGCTTTTGTAGCCAAATACAGAAGCACTGGTACACAATTCAAAGGAAAAGGCATAGTGTAGCAAAATCCATCATCCTACCAAAAACAGACCCTTGTAGTATTCCTGATGTGATAGAATCGTTTCATAATATTTTCCTTTTGGTAATAAGCAATTGTTTTTTAAACAATATTAGCTAAGTTGAAAGATTACTCATTCTACCAACTTGATATTTAGTGGATGAAAACATTTATTAAGAGTCAACCACCACTATGTAAATTTATATATTTTCCCAGAAAGAAAAGCAGGTTAGAACTGAATGAATGACATAATGCCAGATAACAAGATTTATTTAGCTAAGGTATTCAGTATACAATATGTAAATATTACCAATGATGTGAACGTTTACTTGTAGCAACCATACCAACACCCCAGACAGTTTTAGAAAAATGGAATTCACCATCAGTCCACTATATTATTTGCCTACATGCAACCTTCAGGTATTGAATGCAGATGATCTAGCCATCTAGGTTACTCGGACACAGCATTTTGGGTGCCGTGTCCATGTCCGACACATGTCGGACACGGATTCTCCATGGACATGCCGTGGACACTTATGGCTCAAAGCAAAATCCGATTTCCCGATTACTTGTACCCTAAACTACTTTCTTTGGTAATATCAGGTTCAAAGCCAATCAGTTTTTTGAACCCAAAAACTGAAACCTAGTACTTAAATATTTAAAAAATACCCATTCTAGTGTCCCATGCGATCAACTAAACTTTTATTGTTAAACCTTATTCTTAGTTTTATTTAACTTGATTCTTAATTATTGTAAATAATAGAAAGAAACATACAAATGTTATATGTATTAATTTAATATTTTCTCTAATGTAAATTTCACACATGCACACGCACGCACGCACGCATAGCTGTATCCCTGTATCCTACATTTTAGAAATTTGACATGCCTTGTGTCCGTATCCGTGTCCATAGCACCCATATTCGTGATACCTAGTAGATGATTCATAGTTTCAAAAATTTATTGATTTGGGTTTTAATGTAGAAACCAAACTCAAGAATGTAGCAATACTTATGACTTTAAAAATGTGGCTATATTATTATGATATTAAACTATGATTTAAAAGTTACAAGTGTTCATTCCCTTGTTCTAGACATTTATATTTAGAAATTCATAGATGTTATAATTTCTTACTAGTTTCAGCACTTCTATTCCTTACTGTCACAATATTGAGCACCTAAAGCGTGGCATTAACTTAAAAAATGTGACTATATTACAGTCTAAAGGGTCAATACAGGATTTAACAAATCACAAGTCTAGTCCCAAAAATATTGCCATGTTTTTCAGGTCACTTGATATGAGTAATTCTTCATGGAGCTTACACTGATAAATCACATCATTTAGTCATGTTAATAGTTGATATTTCATATAGTTAATTATAATTAAACCTTTGATTATAGGAACCCCGACCTAAGCCTCCATTTAGGCTATAATACATGCAATTTGGTGCTTCGATGAGAGGTAGCTTTGCATGTAGGATTTAATTGTGAAGCAGCTGCAAACTTTGGCATCCAAACCCCTAGTCTAGATATGTTGTCTGCAACATGACCTTGCATTAGATCAAAGAACTGATAAAGGGAAGGCTAGTAGAGTATGTTCCTCTCCTACTGTGGCATATACAGCCATGCTCCAATAAATGGGCATGGAAGGTAATGGTGGCTTCACTATCAGAGGTGATATAGACAACTAAGTGCAGAAGTGTTGATTAATTGAACCATATACAATGGTCAGTGCAATTTCTTCGCTTGCTTTACCAGAAGAACTCTACATGCCACTGCCATCTCACCCACTATCTAACTGTAACAATTTGTAACTATATTCTCGTATCTATTTTCTCATGCATGAAAGATGCAACTATCCATGATCAACCACTACATATGTCGGCATGGATTTTTGGTTTTGTTCACTGAAGTGGACTCTTATCTTTTTGGGACATTTTATTTCAGGCTGGGAAAAACAGTGGTTTTCATTTGCATTTCCCTTAGAAACCATCTTTAAAATAGGATCATTTTATAAATAAAAATAAAAACCACATTTTATTTTCAATTTATACATAAAGCACCCTTAAAAGGGTTTTTTGTTGCAATCAACCACCAGGGCTCACCTTTTTTTTATTTTTTTGCAATTGATCTCACCTAACCTTCGTTAAGGATCATCTCTCTAATATACTTGATATCTGACAAATAATTATTACATAAACTCAAAAAAAAATTGATTTAAAAAGTGAGTCTAGGTGGTTGATTACAGAAAAAAAACAGTTTAAAGGTGGTTTATGTATAACTTGACAATGGTGGTTTATGATAATGAAACACTACTAGGTAGGCGTAGGTGATACTGCTTTCTTTAAACTTGTTCATCCCATCCAAAGCCATAGCACTCACATTCACTCCTGAAAACAAAAAAAACAAAAAAAAAGAAAAAAAGAAAGAATCTTTAGATCTTGAAACTATACACACAAGTCTGACCTCAAAATCTAAATTTGGTTCGGCTTAGATTGGATCGACGTCAAGGGCAAATGGAACAAACGCGTTAATCACAAAAGGGTACCTTTTTTAGACCACTGGAATTCGCTGTTGAGGGATCTGGAGGAGTCAATAGAATGATGAGGGCTAGGGTTTTAAATTTTAGGGGAAACTGGAGAGGGGTTCAGTGTCTGAGAGATTGGAGGGAAACAGAAATCTGAGAGAGGACAACTTCAATAAAGTCGTAGTCCAGATCTAAGTATTTTCATTGGATTGCGGTTCTTTGTCTTCAATCTTCGAGTTTCCTTTTTGTTTTTTTGTTTTTTGTTTTTTTGTTTTTTTTTTTTAAGTTTCTGGAGCTTAAAGTTAAACATCCGGATAAAACTGGGTTTTGTCGACATTAGTCTCTTATGTCTTCTATATTCCCAAATAATCTCTACAATCATTGACTCTGCTATTAGGTCCCTCATTTCTCAAGTTATTACTAGTTAGATTGCACGTGCATCGCACGTCATCGAATATCTTGGTTATTTAAATTGATAAAAATAGAATAAAAATAAAATAAAAAATAAACTTTTTTGCGGGATTGATTATCAACACAATAATCTCTTTTTCAAATGAAATATTGGCATTGTTTCCTTCAACCCAGACTATCGTCACGTGGTCTACTATTTGCGAGTTATAAACATGTTGATCTAGTACAATATCTTTATTTATTAGTATATTGAAGTCTTTAAAAGATGGGTGATCGTTCAATTCGCAAATAAATTTTGCATATGAATTTACTTGTAATATGTCCATCAAACTTTTAATTGTGGTTTGACTCATATTCACATTAACTTTTAGTTGTGATTTCACTCATATTTATATTATCTAATATTCTCATTCAATTTTATAGTTCATTCTTCGTACCATAGAACTAAAACTAAAAATATGAAGAATTATTTTCTTGCGAAATTAGAGCAGAGAGATCATGATATATTTCGTCGTGTACTTTAAATATAAAAAATTCTTTTTGATGCAAGGTCCCTATCAAATCTTACCCCAAACAATGTGAATGAAAAAATACTATTATAACTCACTTGTCTAGAACAATTATGTTGTATATAGGACATATACAGTAGTCTCATGTATTTTCTGGTTCTGACTGCAAAATACGCAAGAGTGGTAGTCCCGTGTATTTTCTGACTTTAATTACTTTTGTAATTAGTGTTCTCTAATTACATGGGACTATTAGTCCAGTATATTTTAAAGATAATTTTTATACAAAATTGACCTCTTTGTTGCCAGTCTTAATGGTGTGGCAAAAAAGAGGTCAATTTTGTTAGGAAAAAATGTGTCAATGCCCCCAAAAAAATAAAATTGTTGTGACTAGGCCCCCCGTATTATTTTTTATGTGACAAAGCCCCCAATACATGAAATACTTGTGTTTCAGTCCCTATTTAGCTTTCCAACACAGCACAGTGACAAACATTTGTTCAAAACCCAAAAACTGCCCTTAACCTATTTCCTGTCTGTCCTCTCTCTCTCTCTTCTCACGCTCAAACTTGTCTGTCAGAGATATCGCTCCTCTCCGGCGGATACCTCCGCAAAGGTCGACCCCAAGATCCAGGCCTCTGACACCCTCCCTCTCCCCATTCGCCACACGAGTCTCCTCTTCTCCTTCCTTTTCATGACCTCTCTCTTCTTCCTCATGCGTCGGTGGCGCAAAAAGATCCGCACCTCCACCTGCATGTCGTCGGGTTCGTCAATATCCTCTTCATTGTCTCCCTTGTTGCCTCCCTAATCTATCTCCTCTCTTTCTTCGGCATCGCTTTCATTTAATCCAGTGTATCCAGGTCCGATGACGAAGAGGATAATCAACAACAGAGCCAGCAGCAACAGAGATACCCTCCCCCTCCTCCTCCTCCTTGCCCTCTCCTGGTCGACGCCGCCGTTGTCGGCGAGAAACCCAACGGCAGCATTTCAACAATCCCCGTCGAAGATGAAGAGATCATCGAATCCGTGGTCATGGGTACGACTCTATCGTATTCATTGGAGTCCAAATTAGGAGACTGCAAATGCTCTGTAGGTGTTTGACGCGAGGCCTTAAGGAGAATCATCGGCAGGAATCCCCTTCCCCTTCAGTTTTATGTTTCTGAGGGAGAAGAGCTTAATGTGGAACCCACCACCCTTCAAGGCCATAACTCGGATGATGCATTTTACTAGTAGCCCAAGAATTCCAAAAGGAACAAGAGGCACCCTGACGGTCCCCTCAAAGTCCAGCTCAGGGTCCGTAAAGGCTCTTCCTCAATTCACAGATGATAACTGCAGAGGCATATTATGTTATGCAACATGTTGTTAAAGTGCACATCTATGTTTTCAGACTCTTTTCTTGCACTTTCAGTTGCCCCTCTACATGGTTTTTCTGGTTTTACTTCTTGGTTCTGGTCCTTTTGGTTGTG